GTTGCGTAAAATTGCAAACAACTATTTAGAAACCACGAGTACAAATTAAAAGATGCGTTTTTCAGGCTTGCGGTTAATATTCATTGTTATTTTATACTTTGTTTCTCGTCGTTACAAGCTCCTTTCGTTTTGTTGTCATCTTATTACAGACCCTCGAGTTCAAAACAATAAAAATTTAACACCACAATAAAATTTTGAATGCATCAAATTAAGCCATCCGGTGGCAGTTAATGACTAAATTTTAATAGAAATGTAGTTAGTGTGGTAAATTTGACCATGTTTAAGTCGTGCTTATCTCTTCATTTGAAGGTAGGCGGCGTAATTTCACAGCAATAATTAATTGATTTCACTTATGAATTACTCCATTCAACGCTTCCTTTTTTATTTCATTCAAACGTCAATTAAATTAAAGAAGTGAACTGTTGATATGCTTGTGTCACGAAAGGATTTGACTCGAGCGATTGCTAAATGTGCGTGAATAATTAGTAGAATGAATTGTTAAAAGTTTTTATTTCGTGAAAAATTACGTTGTAACGGGAATCTGTGAAGTGGGAGTTTAATTAAGAGGTTATGGAAAGACAGTACACGCTTCTGCAGGAATCTGGGATCCATTAAGTAAGTAACGTTGTGCTTTTCACCCATTTTGGTGCCTGGTGGCAATCAACTTGTCATTATTATTGTTATCATTATTATTATTATTAATTAAAGCGAAGTGGTGAGGCTGCCGTCTGTTATGCTCGCGCTGTCAAATAATAGGGCAACACAGATATCTTACAATGTATTTTGAGAACAGTAATTATCGACTTTTAATTACTTTTTCTGGCAATGCGCTCAGTATTCGAAAACCCCTTTGGCTAGAACGAATTGACGCGTGGTTGTTACACAGTTCTCATTAGCCAAAATTAAATGATGTACACGTGTTCTTTGATCTGAACTGATGAATTGGAGAATGCGAATTGTATAAAGCTTGAAAAACTGTGATCAAATCTCCTGTTTTACCTGTCACAGACAAACAGTAATTTTAACAGAGACATTCTTTCTGAACACTGTGGTCGAAATCTACCTTACTCCTTACTCTATATCTATACTTGTTATGTATTTATCCCACTGCTGACACCAATACATTGTGAACCTTTGTTCTTATGGAGAATCATTTTTTATTGAGACGGTCACAGCATATTGGTGTCAGAAGTGGGATTACTAAGACAGTTTGCGACTAGTTCTGGTTACTCGCTTCGACTCGCCCGCACTACGTAGACCCGGTCAGACCGCAGTTTTCCAGTTTAGATTCCCCATTCCGCGAATTTTTGTAACGGTATTCGGCTAAATATTTTATGGATGCATGTTTCTCTTTAAAATATGTTTTTGCAGTGCGTTTTTTCAATGAGGGTGCGAAGTGGCGAGTGTGGGCGTTTTAAGCGATGTTTATAAAAACGTAAAATTTCTGGCGCTCCTTTGAAAATGAAAATCGTGTTAAGAAAAAACTGTATCCCAAACCGGCACTTGCCCCCGAAGGAGTTCAATTACAGCGCGAATCGATACTTACGGGCCTCTGATAGTGCGAGCCGCCCCCCGCCGCCACAACTCATACAGAATCAGAGTAAATTAGCGCGTGTTCGGGTTTAAGCAGTTTATTTACGTCAAATAAATTATGTTCTTTATTTATTTTTGTAGCTTGTAAACGTCGACAGTTTATTACATGCATATTGAATATGTTTATCCCCCTTTAACCCTTGAAAGGGGACCGCTACATTATACACAAATCTCATATGAGATATGTTCAAACAAAATCTGCCTTTATATCCGACTGTAGACATCTTTCTTAAGCCAATAGTAAACCTCACTGAAAGGAGTATAATTGTGACATTACTCAAACCGATTTTGCATATTTAGGGCGGCTAATGCGGAGACGACTTAAAAATGATGGAAATGACTTAGGGATGCTGCGTTGCAGCTAAATCGCAGATCAGTCGATTTTGTAAATATTGACTTGAGGATGAACACCCCAAATTTTCGCCACGTATTATCTCCTCGATCGGGATCTTGCAAATTGTTGGTTTATAACTGAATTAAAAATGCCCCTCTGTTTATTTATTTTCCGCTAAAGAAGTATCCGATAAACAAAGCTTCGTTGTTCAAACAAGCGTAAACAACTCTTCTCCGAAAATATTACGAAATTGTTGTTTTATATTTTTTGGCAAAAATGACTTCAACGGGTGCTGATTCGATCAATCGATTAATCAAATAATCGTTTGCTTCATCCATCAACTTTCTACAATCCCAATTTAAATTGCTTTTTGAACGCATGCGCCCCACCGCTAAATAAATATTAATTTGACTGTTATTCACACACAGGAGTTTTTACAGCGTGTAGGCGGCACGGCTTTAATACTCGATTAAAGAGAACGTGTACTTTATGCTTCTAAATAATTAATTGTTTATTGTAACCTAGCGAAATTACTAAATTATTTCATAATCGTCAGCTTTAACAATTAATTTTTCTGCCTTTACAAGCAATAAATTACCGTTTACAGGCTTGCAGCTACATTATGATTAATGAGATACATTACGCTGGTTTCTTATAATTGAAAACAATTTTTCTCTGGTTGAGGCCACTAAGATGCTAGCTGGACTGTTTAAAATGCACGTACCGAGAGTCCGTGGACTTAAACATCAGCCACCGGAAACAAAACTCAGTTGGCAATTCTGATCGAACGTCATTTCATGCTGTTTTCAAGTTATCTGTCTAATAAAAACCGACACAGACAGACGCTAGACGACAGATGGCAGACGGACGGAAAAGGGAGTTCGTTCCTTAACTTACCTTAACTTGAATATGTTAATCTTGAGGTGTATAATATGACACCCCTAGAATGCTTTAGGTATGAAAAACTCGGTCTCCCCTTTCCGAGGGTTTAAAATCTTGCAAATATTTTAAGGTTATGGTATGGTAAACATGAAACACCGCTGATTAAAATTTGCTGTTTACCTCTTCCAAAAACTTGATGACGTAGTTTCAAAATTTTGCTAAGTAAATACTCTTTAAAACGTGCAAATTAATAGGTGTGTGGTTTTTAACTTATTACCCGAGCAACTCCACTGGAAATGTTAAACTTGCGAGCTTTTCCAGTTGGAATATTTTTAAAATTTATCTCCAGGAACAGTCAGTCACATTTGAAGTTTGTTTAAATTACAAATTGTATTTTTCGCTTCATGCGTGGACCAGTTTTAAAAACAATATTTTGTTTGCTGAAGCTCAATGGAGAACTAAGTCCCGCGTCGCCCCCCATTTTAATTACAACCCTTTTTGTAGGTTGTTTGGAATTTGGCGACATAAATATGCAAATTTGTGAATTCTGTATTGCTTGATGACGGATCGGAATTCGTATTGATTGACACAGCTAACATCGTTTTTAGCAGAAAGTCGATGTTTGTCCTTAGGTTGAGTGTAAAGAGTAATCAAATCGCTACTTTTCCATTACCCGTTTGACGAGACATCATTTTGCCAGCTTTGATCAAGTTGACTGTACGTATACTGTATATATAGTTGATAAGTAGTAAAGTACGATTGACAAAAAACGACGTCAAGTAGGTATGTCGGAAGCAGACTTGAGTATTAAGATATAGTTTTGCGCAAGAGCTCAGGAAGCGGATTAGTTTAACGACTTTCACGTAAAATTGAGTTACTTTGAGACAGCGTACTTTGTTTGTCGTAAAGTGGATGATTCCAAAACGAAAATATTGAGTAAGTTCAGCGAGCATACTGCGGCTTACGTTGAAGTTAACAGCTTGACATCGCATGCACACTTGACGCCGTTTGGTTTCACGTTCGACTGTCTGCGTAAGTCTCGTTTTACCCACCTGTCTTTACGTGGGTGGCAAGCGACAATGCAGCCGAAATCTTCCGGAATAATTATAAGTCACGGAACGGCGTTTTAAATAATGTTCGTCGTGTAGGCAAAACGAGTCTTTTGTGCGAGATGACAGTGTTATAAATTCGGGTAGTAATTTGGTAAGCAGAAATCTGAATAATCAATCGCGCACTATGAGAAGGCTAATAGAGACACGTGCGGAGCTTCCCGCTGCCGACGTAGGTTGGGGGCGGTCGTCAGCGTTCCTCTCCATCTAACATACTGGCGCGTTCCAAGGTGGCAGCTTCCAATTAAATTACTCTTCATTTTATAGAAAACGAGCCACACGCATTAATCATGCCCGGCCTTGCTGTCGACTAAATTCATTTGTCAACGGTGCAACTCGCAAACAATTTAGATTATTTTTGTCGCACACTGCGAAGAATCGTCTGGAAAAACTCGGACTGTCAGGGGGCGATTACATGGGGCTACCTAACAATAAATAAGAGAACCACCATTAGGACTCGTCATCGCTCAGCGCCGTCATAACATCTCGAGATTTACGCAAGCAGCCCCAGGGCGCTGCTTTGGGGCCGCTGTTGCTTCACACGCCAACTCAGTGAATTCTTCAAGCCTAAACTTAAACAACACTTTAGGAATGACGTGCGGGTGAGGACCACACCAAAAATAATCCATTTCGTCTAAAAAGACGGTGAATTCCGAGAGTCAAAGTGAAACATTTGTGCGGTAATGGTTCCTTATCTATAGGTAATTTGAAATAATTACCGAATGTGGGTCCACGAAGTCTGGGTTCGGCAAACTTCTTTATGTAGAAGTATTTTGAAACAAAAATTAATGCAACTGAGAAACAATGTCTCAGGCGAATTAGAATACATTCAGTTATGTTCACACTGATAATACAGGTCATTCAGTAGTGCCTTGCTGGATTCCACTGTAAACCACTATTCTGACAGATGCTACATTTTGACCTTCTGATAACACGGTCATGCAAATGAAGCAACCTTTAAACCAATGTTTTTTTTATGCGTGCGATAAACATTCCATTTTTATAAATAAAACACAATTTTTAAATTACAGTAATGTTAATAAAACATAACACGCTCCTCCAATTAGTCATCATACCTCTGGAATGGCTCTCAATTCGTGAATCTTACAACAACTAAAAAAAATTATAAACGAAGTCCTGTTATGTCTGCCGAAGTTAATTACAAATTGCTGACTACATCATAAAAAAACGAATAAAAATACTGTGTATATAAGTTTCGGTTATCAAAATGCGTGCAGTCCGTTGAAACTCAAAAATGGCAACGTCCAAAATTTGCAAGTTTTATAATAATCAAAACGTTTTTATTACCGGGGGTAGTGGTTTCGTGGGAAAAGTGTTAATAGAGAAACTACTGCGAAGTACCAACGTTCACACTATTTATGTTTTAATTCGAGCCAAGAAAGGACACGATGCTCAAAAGCGATTTGACGACATTTTTGACAGTATAGTAAGTACCAAATCCGTATGGATGGTCAAAGTACTACTTTGCACGATTTAGATTTTCGACAAATTGAAGAGCAAACAACCTGAATTTAAGAACCGGGTGGTACCTATCTGCGGCGACTGTGTTACCAATGGTTTGGGTCTTTCAGAAGGAGACAAAGAAAGATTGATATCTGAAGTGAACATTGTGTTTCATGTTGCTGCTTCTGTGTACTTCGACGAACATATTTGTAAGGCCTACACTATTAATTGCAAGGGAACAGAAAATGTGTTATCACTTTGTAAAGAAATGAGTGTTTTAAAGGTAAATTGACAGTTTTTATTTAACTGGTAGTGCGCTTATTTAATTCTAGGTGTTTATGCATGTGTCTACGGCTTACTCTAACTGTAATCGTCCTTCAGTCGATGAAGTTATATACGACACTCCAGTAAAATACACCCAAATGGAAAATTTAGTGCATAAATCTACAATGGAAGAAATGGAAAAGTTGACCCCTAAGTAAGCATCAAGTACTCATCAACAAAATTTAAAGTTCATGTTTTCAAGGTTATTGGAGTCGTGGCCTAACACTTATACTTTTACAAAAGCTTTAGCTGAAAATCTAATACAAGACAATTATGGTAATTTTCCGCTAGGAATTTTTCGTCCAGGGATTGGTAAGTCCTCCCGGACATAAATTTCGGTGTCATAAATCAACGATTTCAGTAACATCCACCTACAAGGAGCCCCTCGAAAACTGGAGTGACTCCAACAGTGGCCCTAACATGGTCCTACGTTGTGCCTCGTTAGGGTACACCCAAATCTTCTCCGCTAATCATTCCAAGATCGAAATGGTACCCGTTGATTTAACCGTAGCTGCTCTAATAGCAACAGCCTGGGACGTTTACTTCAACCAAAACCAACAACAACTACCCATTTACAACTACGTGTCTTCCACAGACAATGCTCTTACAGTTCACGAATTCTTTTTACTTATTTGTACCCAACTTCGAAATTACCCATCAAACAAAGCTGTTTGGGTTCCAAATTTTCAAACAATACCAGGCTCTCCTGTGACCGACTTTCTCATTTACTGCTACCACCTCGTTCTAGGGTTGTCACTAGATTTCCTTCGGTTGTTTTGTCTTAAGAAGCCTAAAATTTTTCTAGGGATGATAAAAACACACTTGGCTATGACACGGTTGTCCCATTTTGGTAATCGAGAGTGGACATTTTCTAACAAAAACGTTAAAGAAATGTGGGGACAAATGAACGAAACGGATAGGAATTTGTTCAATTTTGATATAGGATCAGTGCAGTGGGTTTATTATTTGAGGAACTATTTCAAGGGATTGAAGGTACATTTGATGAAAGAAAATTTGGAAACGCTACCAGAGGCCAAAACTAGATTGAAAAAGTACTAACTTGGTGTGGTATGTTGTATTACGTTCTAATGATAACTTTTTTTTAGGTTGCAATTTTTGCAAAATGGCATGCATTTTCTAGTGATTTTCTTTGGAATAAGCACTATTTTTATATTGATGTTGAAATTTTATTGTTAGTTTGATTGTAACATACCTATAAATATTTGCATCTGGAGACAACATGGCGCTGAAATGTGCTTACAACACAAATTTTGATTTACTTATCAACTAATAACATTGATAATTGTAATAATCATTTGTTGTTATAAATATGAATATAACTTTTTATATATGTGTACTTTTTTGCCAAAACAACGTTTTAAACGTTTTCAACACTACACCGATAACCTAAGTTAAGTCAACGGTATACGATGACCATAGGACGAGATTTTTAGAGCAGAATTATAAGTATCTACACTTTTATAACCTATAAATTTCTTCGAGATCTACTTCCTAGATGCCTCAGAAATGTTTTCTTCCGAACTACAAAGTGACGTCCGTATACGGTGGTGTATATGATGGTAAACGATGAAAGCACTTTTTTTCACTAGCAGCCAGGACGCATGCAAATGTCGACTCATTTAGTGGTAGCAAATTCAACTTTTGCGACCACCGGCTCAAAAAGAAAAATTGAGGTTATGTACGCAATGTTTGATGTGATTATTTCTTAAAAAATGAACAAATGTGTGCTACAAACCTTACTTGAGTATACGCATGGTAGTTGGTAGACGGTAGAAGATAAAATGATTAACTCAGCGACAAGTATAAACGGTTTTCTTTGTGTTGAAGATTTAGATTAAGTTTGATTATAAATCAAAACAAAATCATGTTGCGTCAAAAAATTGAACGTTTATTTTTACTTCCCGAGCGTAAGCAAAGGAAGTATTGTAATCGAGTCCGTCGGCCGACTCTCTACTTTTACGTTTTCTCGATCTTTCATGACCCCTAGAAGACGAAGAAATAGGTCTCCCATTTCCGTCTGTCTGTCCGTCTGTCCGCCTGTCCGTCTGTCCGTCCGTCTGTCCGTCCGTCTGTCCGTCGGTCCGTCCGTCTGTCCGTCTGTCCGTCTGCCGTCCCGGATTTTTATTAGACAGATAATCTCCGAAAGTACTCGACCGATTGTTGTGAAATTTTGTACTTATATTAAGAATATCATGTAGATGGTAAAACGCTAACCAAAATTTGTCTAATCATCCCCACCACTAATGCGATGACGTCACTTCAAAATTGTACATAGTAAATGGGTTTTCAATTGTATAAAATAACATAGTCCTACACATGTAGTTTACAACTCTGAATCGACTTTTCACCCGAAACGTCCAGATTTTTGGAAAAAAAATCAAAATTATAAAACAACATTTTAAAATTTAATTTTTAATCTGCTAACCAGAATGCTTTGAAATGTTGCAGATGTTTTAAGGCTATAAAGAGCATCATAAATCTTTAGTCAAAAAATATTTGCTTATCCCCTCCAAAAACTTGATGACGTCAGCTCAAAAGTTTGTGGAATAAATCATATCTAAAATGTACAAAATATGATGAGTCTGTACTTGTGATCTATCACTCCATTCATATTTTTTGGATTTGCATATACAGGGTGACTGAAAAAAATTAATGAATGCGTAAATTTATTTTACTGATTTACTCAGAAACTACAAAACCGAATGCTTTCAAATCTTGCAGATATTTTAAGGTTATAAAGAGCATAATAAGTGTTTAGTCAAAATATATTTGCTTATCCCCTCCAAAAAATTGATGACGTCAGGTCGAAAGTTTGCCGAATAAATCCTATCTAAAATGTACAAAATATGGTGAGTCTCTTCTTGTGATTTATCATTCCATTCAAATTTTTTTCGATTTGCATACACAGGGTAACTCAAAAAAATTAATGAATGCGTGATTTTATTTTATTGAGTTAATCAAGAACTACAAAACCGAATGCTTTGAAATCTTGCAGATGTTTTAAGGTTATAAAGAGCATAATAAATGTTTAGTCAAAATATATTTGCTTATCCCCTCCAAAAAATTGATGACGTCAGCTCGAAAGTTTGCCGAATAAATCCTATCCAAACTGTTAAAATATGATGAGTCTGTACTTGTAATTTATCACTCCATTCATATTTTTTGGATTTGCATATACAGGGTGACTCAAAAAAATTAATGAATGCGTAAATATATTTTATTGATTTAATCAGGAACTACAAAACGGAATGCTCTGACATCTTGCAGATGTTTTAAGGTTATAAAGGGCATAATAAATGTTTAGTCAAAATATATTTGGTTATCTTCTACAAAAAACTGATGAGGTCAGCTCAAAAGTTTTCCGAATAAATCGTATCTACAATGTACAAAATATGATGAGTCTGTACTTGTGATTTATCATTCCATTCATATTTTTGGATTTGCATATGCAGGGTGACTCAAAAAAATTAATGAAGGCGTGAATTTATTTTATCGATTTAATCAGGAATTACAAAACCGAATGCTTTGAAATCTTGGGAATATTTTAAAGTTATTATAAGCATGGTAAACTTTTGTTCAAAATGTATTTGTTCATCCCTCCTAAAAAAATTGATGACGTCACCCTTAAATTTTGCTAAATAAATCCTATCTAAAATGCAAAAAATATGATGAGTTTGTACTTGTGATTTATCATTCCATTCATATTTTTTAGATTTTCTTAAGAGGTGGTTCAAAAAAATTAATGAAGTCAATTTATTTTATTGATTAAATCAAAGGCAACACTTATTATTAGTATTACACCCCAACCAACCCAATTTGGTAGACACAAAATTTGTTAAAGGAAAAACTCGGTTGAAACATAAGGGTAGCACGCTTATTTACATCGACTTTAACATTACAGACCTTCATTTGTTTTATGCGTTCACTTGATTCCGCGAATGTGAAATAGACATGTTTATCATCAACCAATTGTGAATTTCACCGTCAAGAATTAAAATAAAACCCAATGTTTTATATAATAAGCGGAAGTCGAAGCAATAAAACCGACGGTCGTTTTGTTTACAGTTTCTCTGTTTGGCTCTCGCGTATGCTGTTACACCTGTCATCTTAAATTAAGAATGTTTATACATACACGATTTTCAGTTGCCTCTGATACGTAGGTATACGTGAGTAAATTGTTTCGTTATTTTATTGATTATTACAAATCAATATTCAAACGACCCAATTCATTTTCCCGAAAATTTGAGAATATAATAATTTTATTCTTAGTATTACACTACATCTATCCCAACTGATATACGTGTCCTTGCAAAAATGTTGATGACGTCATCGCATTTTTTTTTTAAATTCCCACTACAAAAATGTAATGAGAAAAAAAACACAATAGGCATGCAGTCGTCAAGTTTCCGATAGCGAGGGAAGTACTGTCTAAACTCTTTAGACCAATTTTTTCAGTTTATTGTCTTATGGTTTCTACTAGTGAAAAAAATAGTATATTAACCACGGTTGCAAAGCCACTTCTAGACCTCGCGCTTCAGAGCCCTCGACGCTGCGCGTCTCGGGTTCTAATTTGCGCTCGGTCTAGAATGCTTGGCTCTGCAACCTTGGCTAATAATATACTATTTAATACTGAGTTTCTTAAACAAAAAAACCTGAATATCCTAACAGGTTTACAAACTAAAATATCAACGTATTGTGTTAAAAAATAATGAGCCTGTTATGTTGTAATTGTATAATTATATTATCTAGGATAAACTGCTTATGAAGAAGTCGACCAGTTTTGTTTTGTAAAAAAACAAAACTGGTAAACAAGTTTATATATATAAACTTCGGTTACCAAAACCGGTGCAGTCTGCAAATATGTCTGCGTCAGAAATTTACAAATTTTATAACGATCAAAACGTTTTTATTACGGGGGGTAGTGGTTTCGTAGGAAAAGTTTTAATCGAAAAACTACTAAGAAGTACTAACGTTCGCACTATTTATGTTTTAATTCGACCAAAGAAAGAATGCGATGCCCAAAAACGGTTTCACAACATTTTTGACAACATAGTAAGTATCAAAGTGCATATGGCAAATTTAAAGTACTACTTTGATATAGCTTTTCGAAAAATTGAAGAGCGAACAACCTGAATTTAGGAATCGGGTGGTACCCATCCATGGCGATTGTACCACAACAAATTTAGGTATTTCAGAAAAAGACAACGAAAGACTGAAGTCTGAAGTGAACATAGTGTTTCATGTTGCCGCTGCTATTTTCTTCAACCAGCATATTAGTACGGCCTACGCTATTAACTGCAAAGGTACAGAAAATGTGTTATCACTTTGTAAAGAAATGAGTGTTTTGAAGGTAAATTTCCTAGTGCTAGTTGATTAGTTCTTACGTTTATTTAAATCTTCAGGTGTTTATACATGTGTCAACGGCTTACTCCAATTGTAATCGTCCTTATGTTGACGAGATTATATACGACACTCCCAGTAAATACACACAAGTGGAAAATTTATTAAACAGATTGACATTGAAAGAAGCTCGAAAGTTGACTCCTAAGTCAGTACCTAGTACGTATCAACAAAATTTATAGTTCGCTTTTTCAAGGTTACTAGAGTCGTGGCCCAACACTTACACTTTTACAAAAGCTTTAGCTGAAAATCTAGTACGAGACAAGTCCGGGAATTTTCGTGTAGGAATTTTTCGTCCAGGGGGTGGTAACCTCTTCCAGAGAGAAATTACGTAGTTATAAATTAAACGATTTCAGTAACATCCACCTACAAGGAACCCCTCGAAAACTGGAGCGATTCCAACAGTGGCCCAAACTTTGTCATCCGTTGTGCCTCTTTGGGATACATCCAAATTTTCTCCGCTACTCACTCCAGAATTGAATTGGTTCCCGCTGATTTAACCATAGCTGCTCTAATAGCAACCGCCTGGGATGTTTACTGCAACCAGGACAAAGACAAGCTTCCCATTTACAATTATGTCACCTCAAATGACAATTCTCTCACGATTTGTGAATTATTTTCAGTCGTTTGTCTTCAACTTCGAAATTACCCTTCGAACAAGGCTGTCTGGGTTCCAAATTTTCGAACAGTAGAAGGATCTCCCATGGTCTATTTTTTCATTTTCTGCTACCACATGATTCTAGGGCTGATACTAGATTTTCTTCGGTTGCTTTGTTTTCAGAAGCCTAAAATTTTTATGGTCATGTTAAAAACACAATTAATTATAAAGGACTTGTACTACTTTAGTGTTCGAGAGTGGAACTTCTCAAACAAAAATGTCAAAGATATGTGGGGGCAAATGAACGAAGTTGATAAACACTTGTTTAACTTTGATATGGGATCTGTGCAGTGGATTTATTATCTGAGGAACTATTTTAAGGGACTGAGGGTGTATTTGATGAAAGAGACCTTGGAGGCAGTACCAGAAGCCAAAACTAGAATGAAAAGGTACTGACTTTATTTCATGTATATTATAAAGTTTTTTTAATTCTTTATAACCTTGTAGGTTGGAATTTTTGCAGTATGTCGTGCATTTTCTAGTGATTTTTTTTGGAATAAGCACCATTTTGATGTTACTGTCGAATCTTTATTGTTAGTTGTGATTGTAAGATACTTATAACTAATAACATTGCTACATTTTCCTTGATAAACAAGAATAGTAACTGACACGAGTGGATAATTATCATATTATTATTAATATTAATATTAATATTATTACGTTATAGAAAAATACGCAATATTAAGTACAAGTTTTTCGGTGGGTTCTTGGTCAGTCTTTGATGCGCATAAGTTTATAATTTAATTGTTAAGACAATTTAAACATAAACATACTTAAAAGACAAAACTGGTCTTTGTAACATGTTTTTCTTTTAATCAGTCTGCAAAATCCTGTTCTCAGAAGTTGTTAACCTTCCTGCTATAATTAAAACCAATTACTCGTATCGAGAGAGGGCAAGATCATCGCGAACGCGACAGTTTCACTTCAAACCAGACTGTTGGTTATTTCTCAGTTTTACGATGGCTCAGTCTCAAATAAGTGAATTTTATAATAACAAAAACGTTTTCATAACAGGCGGGACCGGTTTTTTAGGAAAAGTTCTGATCGAGAAACTGCTAAGGAGTACAAAATTGAACAAAATCTATGTTTTAATCAGATCGAAAAAGGGGCAGGGTGCCAACGAGCGCTTGAAAAACATATTTAGCAGTAGTGTAAGTACAAAACATCAAAATAATTCGTTGAATTAAAATATCTAGTCATTTTTAATTTGCAGCTTTTTGAAAAATTAAAAAACGAACAGCCTGATTTTCGAACTAAGGTAGTACCTGTTTGTGGGAGTTGCGAGCTTGTAGATTTAGGTCTGTCAACTCAGGATAAGGACTTGTTGATATCCGACGTTAATATAGTGTTTCATTTGGCCAGCAGTGTGAGTTTTTTTGCAAATTTGGTTACTCTGTATGAGATCAATTGTAAAGGAACACAGAATGTGTTAACGTTGTGTAAGGAAATGGAATTTTTGAAAGTAAGTTTCAGGGTATGTGAAGATCTGTGATTATTTGAGTGTTTCAGGTGTTTATATATGTATCTACGGCTTATAGCAACTCTAATTTGTCTTCTATAGATGAAATGGTGTACGATACTCCTTTAAAATACACTCAAGTGGAACAAATACTGAAGAAATCGTCTGTAGAGGAAGTTATTAATCTATCCCCTAAGTAAGCTGTTTTCAAGTAGTATAACAAAGATTTACACTCTCGTTTTCAGGTTGATAGGGACTTGGCCCAATCGTTACACTTTCAGTAAAGCCTTGGCCGAAAATGTGGTACGAGATGGTTCTGGGAGTTTTCCGATTGGAATTTTTCGACCGGCAATGGGTAAGCATGGATGTCTCACGACTCGTAGCTATTTTATGACTTTTAGTCATACCCACTCATAAGGATCCTCTTGACAACTGGAGTGATTCTAGATCTGGCCCAACCATTATTATAGAATTTGGTTTATTAGGATGGATCCAATTTTACACTGCCAATCATACACACCTCGAGATAGTTCCAGTAGATTTAACCATATCTGCTCTAATAGCAGCAGCTTGGGATGTCTGTTGTAATCAAAACCAAAGAGTTCTACCCGTCTATAATTACGTGTCATCACCAGACAATCCAATCACTAATCATGAATTTCTCTTACTAACTTGTCTCCAATTTCGTAATTACCCGTCACAAAAAACCATATGGGTTCCAAATCTTCAAATACAAGATAAATCCACTCTATCTACAACTGTTCTTAATTACTTCCATCATTTCTCTCGAGCGATTTTCCTGGATTTTCTTCGGCTACTTCGTTTCCAAAAACCTGAAGTAGTGCAAGGAACGATAAAAATACTCTACTTCATAAAATTGTGTGTTTATTTTGCCAACCATGAGTGGTCCTTTTCCAATAACAATATTCACGAAATGTGGGACCGAATGAATGAGATTGATAAAAACAAATTCAATTTTGATATGAAAACAGTACAGTGGCCACAGTACTTGAGAAACTACACCAAAGGATTAAAAACATACTTGTTGAAGGAGAGTTTGAGCACGCTACCCGAAGCAAAAGCTCGAGTGAAAAGGTATGCCATTTTGGTTGCAAATTCAGTTTCACTTATTGCAATTTTCAGGTTTCAACTTGTCAACAACGTTTTGCAATGTCTGTTTTATCTTATTGGAATTGGCATCATATTCATTAAGCTGCTATAAATATTTTTGTTGACTGTGGGTACTTAAGTCTTTAAAATAAACAAACTAATAAATAAAATACATATATGTTTAAGCTAGCTCACTCTGTTGGTTTGAATAAGGCGCGCTCTATCTCGCTTTCTTGTTTCTTTGTTACGTTTGGTTGTGATCACGTGGTCTTAACCGACTGGTCCATTTTCGCGTCAGTTTGAAATTCAAAAATGCGTTTCACAGAACAATAGAGAGCAAGACTGCAAACTACGAAATCTCCAATTTCCGGGTAATTGCGGTGCAAAACTGCGAAGGAAAAAAGCCTCTGCTCTTTAGTTTAATGGCTGATTGTGTTAATTCCCACTCTTATTTAAACAAATCAGAGTTAATTCAAGTGAACGACGTAGACGTTTAAGCAGAACAAAAACGGCTCTAAATTTGCATGGACCAAAAACGATGTGCAAAGGAAGACGAATGAATAATAGATGACCGTAAGAGTAAGCCAACTGGGATGGGAAATCGGGCGAGTGTCCAGCGGATGCAGCGCCGGATTTTAATGAAAAACCAGAATGGGTAGAGCATGTGCGTGCCAGCCCGGTATAAACCGTACAAGGGAGCAACACACTAATACAAATTCGTCGACCATTCAGCAGCGATAAACGAAATAATCAGACAATACGGTGATAGATGAAATCGATAAACAAAAATGGACGCCTGGAGCACGCAAAGAACAAAGCCGGCAATTCTCACTACCAAAGGGCCATCAAACGCAACGTGCTAAAGACGCAGGACCAAAGAAAATAAATCGTAAACTTAGAATTAAAAAAAGAATAAGCAAATACTTTTGCAAGCAGCGGAGCCAAGGAACGGATTCGCGCCCGAATACTCCTGAGGATAAGCCGCGATCTCCCCAAACAGCTGAACGAAGCTTTCAGTTCGACCAGAAATTACAAATGTTTTGTTGTAGTTGTTTTTTGTTTCTGATTTAATTTGTTCGTGTCAAAGTGTCTCCAGTGGCCGTTTGGGTGCACTCGTGAATCAAAGGGTGACGTCATGCGCAAAACGAGCTCGTGTCTCCAATATTCAGTGTTAGTGTCAAGTATAGTAATCGAGTCCATCAAACGAAATGCCACTTTTATGTTTTCTAGACGTTTCATGACCCATACAGTACAAAAAAAGTAGATTCCCGTTTCCGTCTGTCTGTCTGTCTGTCTCTCTGTCTGGTGTCTGTATCCTTTTTTATTAGACAAGTAATCTCCGAAACTGCTGGACTGATTGTTGTCAAATTTTATAATATGTGTGTTAAGAATGTCATGCAGATGGTTAAACGCTACCCAAAATTTGGACAATCATCCCCACCAACAATTTGATGATGTCATTTCATTGAATTGTAATTTAAAATAATTTTAATTTTATACACAAATATACTCCTGTACTTGTAGTGTACGAATCCTCTTTCAGTTTTTTCGCTAAACGTTAAAATTTTCGCAAAAACATTTCCACGGTATATTACCGGTATATGTATTACCAACACCGGACATTTCATTGATAATACGCTGCGACTACTTTTCTTTTGTGTTGAGACTAGTATTATCCATGTTGACGACTTCATTATAAATTTTTTATTGGTCAAATTACGAACGAGTCACTCCAGTTAAGCATGGTAAATTTTTGAGCAAAATGTATTTGCTCATCCTCCCTAAAAATATTGATGACGTCACCTCGAAATTTTGCTGAATAAATCCTATCTTAAATGTGCAAATTATGCTGAGTTAATACTTGTGATTTATCACTGCATTAATATTTTTTAGATTTGCTTATACGGGGTGCCTCAAAAAAAATTAATGACTGAGTGAAGTGTGTACGATGTTAGCAGTATTTGTGTATGCATTGATTTGTGCACTACCTGTATTGCATATGCATTCTTAGTCAGATTACGCATTATTTGCATGACGTTCTAGTTAAACGATTCAAGATAAACACAAACATGTACTTGGCCAAGCAATTGACGTTCTAAATTGACGAATGCGTCAAGAAAAACAGGATTTGGAACCTTCTTAACAACGTTTGTCATACAATTCTGCATTATTTTGCGCGAAAATCCTCGGTTTCTTGAATAAATAAGTTGGATTCGAATTGCTGCTGGGTTTGGTGTTTTAGTTAAATAAAGTAGCCTATAAATGAATAATTTGCATATGGCGGAATTTGTGGTAAACTAAAAAAAAGTCAGACTAATTAGTATTAATTGGTTTATCCGGTAAGACAATCCAAATTTGATAATTACTGTGAAATAATGGGTACTTTTGTTTGTGGTTGACGTCAATAGTGACTTTTTGTTTTTTATTTTGTTATAACTTGTATTCATGATGTTGATGTCCCATATTCATCGATCTCAATCCTACTGGTTTGAAAAAGCGGATCATACATCAACAGATAGAGACCCCTTTAACAAACATGATTTTTGCAAACTAGAGACGAAAAATATTTAAGAAGAATAAAATTTTATAAAACTGAATTGTTTTTAATAACTTCATGTTTGTAGGAAAACGGTTGTCGGTTTAATTATGAGATATTTATACTTATCATATTTAAACAGTATAAATACTTCATTTACAAAAGTCCCCTTTGCTCCATGTTGGCCACCAACGAGCGAATTTCACGAATTTTGGGCAACTCTGCCGGCTCTAAATATTTGATTTTTTTGGCCTGGATCGTTGATGCTCAGCGAGAATCACGGGAAGGTCTGGGGCAGGTCTTGCCAGGAAAGGAGACGGTTAGGATTTGGTAATGAGGGATAGAACGTTATACAGTACAATAAAATACAATACAAATACAATACAGCTACAATACAGAATACAATACAGATACAGATGCAGAAATACTACAGGTACAGATATAATACATATGCATAGTTAGTACCTAAGCACATACACCACCTGAAGAAAAGCTGCTACCCACTTTAAGAAAAGTGATACCTGCATGTTTGCAAAATGAATACCCATACAAGCTCACCGATGAAGCTCGGACGAAAACTATAGGATCGCAGAACTCCCACGTCCAAGGGAAGAACGCAGCCGCATAAATCCAAGGCCGACTGACCTCATTTCTCATAGAATGATGCGATCCAGCGTCTAAGAGCCAACCGACCCCCCCCCCAAGAGCGTGTGACGACATGGAGAATTCAAATTTGGAACCAAAGGATGCACTGTTGCAAACTTAATACCCAAGCAAGTACGCCATTGAAATCCAACCTACAAAGCATTTACAGCACTGGAGCTAAATTAGCAAGACCCACTGTTGCAAAGTTAAGTTAGTAATACATACAATATACAGTACAATATGCTTCAATTACAAGAATTACAATATACACATTACTCCACGTTTGCCACCAAAGAGCGATGACTGTGCTCGCTCGTTGCTATTGCCCGGAAAGAACTAAACAATACTCGGTCTGGAGCGCGTCTTGCCATCAAAAGAGAGGATTAGGGTTTACAAGGGTGGGTGAAGGACACCGCATTTTGTAAATTATGAAGGCTGGACTTTATAAATTCAAACGTTGTGCTTTAAAAATGATGAACGCCAAAATTCGGACATTTTTGGAAAAATGTTCTTTGTATTCACAGCACTAATACAGCACTTTTTTACCAATATTTATTAGCAATAAATTAGAAATTCGCAAAAACGCGTTATTTTTACGTCAAAACGACTGGAAAGTATATTTCCAGGAAGTTTAGGTAGCCGACTAGAAAGGGTACAGTAGTTGCAGGTGCGCTACCTGTATAGGAAAAATGTACAGTTAAATCCATTGTAAGAACAGGTAGCTCGGCTCCCTTTTTGGGTATAAAAGGCCCGTATTTTGTATATACTTGATCTGTTGTCTTGTGTCCGTTGCCGAAGTAAGTTCCGTGTAAATAAATCAACAAAAACCACAAGTGTTGTTTTTTATTCTCGCCACCCAACAAAGCGGAATCACGGCGAATGAAAAGCACTAACATATGGTCCTTCGAGCCGGATGTGTAAATACACGAATTTAGTGATTCGATCAGCAATGTCGCGACATCATAACTAAGTGATACGCAACACGTGAACATACAACGGGCACATCAACATATCAACAGCAACAAGTATCAGGTGAGTGGTTCGTTTCCTTTCCAATCCTTATTATAACCAAAAAAACACACTTTTTTAATCATAAATCAGTTAGGAAATGGCGCCCACTTTAGATCAATTAATCGTTAAAAGAACCACGATCAAGTCAAAATTTACACGAATTCAAACTTTTGTTAATTCATTCAATGCAAACTCTAATATTCATTTATTAAAAACGCGCGTAACATTAGCCAATCAAGCATTTCAAGAATACAACAGTATACAGGATGAAATCGACTTGTTATTAGATAGATCCGACAAGGCGCTTGTCGAAAAACATTTAGAATATCGCGAAGAAATCGAAAATAAATATTGCGAGATAATAGCTACAATCGAATCAAAAACTGAAAGTCGCGACGATGCACAAACGTCTAATTCAGGTAATCACGCACCTTTTGCATATCTTCCTCCAATCGCACCCATTAATATTAAACCATTTTCGGGTTGTTATAAAGAATGGTTAACATTCACTAACACGTTCAAGTCAATTATCGAAGACAATTCTTACAAACTAACCGACTGTCAACGGTTCCAGCATTTAAGATCGTGTTTAGAAGGTGAAGCAAAAAGGTCAATCGAACAGTTAGAGGGATCCGACGAAAATTATCAAGAAGCGTGGAAAATTCTCGAAAGCAGATTTAAAAACACGCGACTAATCGTACAGGATCATATTTTATCCATATTAAAACTACCTACTTTGTCTAAAGCGTCACATTATGCAATTCGAGAACTTTTAGATACTATAATCAGAAATGTCACAGCCTTAAAACAATTAGATATTAAAATAGACGAGTGGCACGCGCTAATCGTCCCAATCATAATCGAAAAACTAGACTATGTCACAATTAGAGACTGGCAAGCTACGTTGGACAAAGATGTTCCGACCTATTCATCGTTAATCATATACTTAGAAAAACGGTATAGAACATTAGAATC